AGGAACGTCTGACTTATTCTCCTGCTGCATCTTCTTTTGTTTTTCCATTTCACGGATATGATTTCGAAGTGTAACAATATCAGTCCGATTTTCTTTTGGGGCTTCAACAATGATTGAGGCAACTGAAGTGACTTTTGTAGGGGAGATTTTCATCCGAGTTAGGTACCAAGATTGAGAAAATGGATCTATCGTAGGAACATATTTTCGTTCTTGAAGGAGTTTAATTTGTCTATGTAGCTTTTCCATTTCGGCAGTCTAGTTTTCCAAATATTGATGGGAAATATATTTACCCGATTTCATCTGCTGCAGTTTCTTCTGGAACGTCTCAAGCAATTTATTTGTGACCAAAGCCGTTTGATCAACCTTTTGATCAACATGGTGAAGGCGGGCTTGGACGGTTGAAAGTTTTGTATCAATTGTCATGATGACATTATTTTGTGCCAGAGCATTTTCTGATTGCCAATTCTAAATAACTTTAGCGGAAGTAACTTTCTTTTGTCTCCCATGATTATCTATATTCGTAGGGTTTGGAATCTTTGGCATGTGTCGAAACCGATGGTGTGTGGCTGTAAATTCTTCTAATGCTGGAAAAGGAGCACTAGAATTTGTTCTTTTCAAGGGCGGAAAGTCCGAGGGTTGGAACATACAGACAGCTGGGAGTACTGGCGGTGGTTCAGGCTTTGAAACATATGAAAGCTAGGGTGCTTTGGGTAATTGCAAAGAATAGAATTTTTTCCTAATCCATTTTTTGATGGGTTTATAGAAGAGTGAAACAACTGGCTTTTGTGGTGGAGTTTTTCTGGGTGGTGCTTGTGGAGGTGAAAGAGGTTTACAAGGTTCAGGAACTAGTAGAGGAATTTGTGGCCGGGGTGGTCCATATGAAACCATAAATTGGTATCTTCCTCCATCCTCACTAATGAGTCCTATGGTAGGATCCCCATTAAGATATCTCTGGTAGAGATTATCTTTGGACCGTTTCTTTTTCTTTTTGGATAGTTTGTCATCTTCTTCGTCATCAGGAGGGCTTGTGCAAAAGGAACATTGACAATCTAGATCCCAGAAGCAGTATCCTATTCGAGGATCTTTGTAAAAATGAATAGGTCATCCCTCTTGATCAAAAAACTCAATCATAGTATTTGGATCAAAGTCACCTACCTCCATAGGAACATTAGCATGACAAGGTTACATCATAAAAATAGTAGGAAAAATAGAAGAAGAGGCTTCTTCCTTTCCCTTACTAAATTTAATGACAACCGTACCATCTTTCTTTTTTGTGAACTGAGATTCCATGGATTGGATAAGCCTGGAGTTCTGATGGAGTTTTTCATAGTTAATTACTCAAATATCAGGGAGTAACTTAACTAATTGATCCTGAGGAATTTGTCTTGGTACATGAACATAGGAAGTTTGATCATTATCCACTGAGATGAAAAGAGCATGAAAATTAAGATCAATAGCATGATTTTGGACCCGATATACCATTTGGTAATGTAAAGTAGTAGCTATAAAATCAAGGGTCTGAGGAGCTCCGGTGAGATACAGTTGAACTTTAAGAGCAGAAAGGAGTCTTGGGTACATAAGGGCCATGTTAAAATTTGGAAACAGAGTAACAAATACTGTTCCAGCATTAAGGGTGGTTTGGATTGTACCAATACAAGCATGTTGGTAATCCAAGAAACGAGTATCCAGAAGGGCCATTCGGGCAACAACAGGTAATCCTTTTCTACCATAAAAGAATAGTGCAAGACGGAGAGCACCAAAGTGAAGATTCGTATACCCTTGTTGTACCCATTAACGTGGAGAATCAGAAGGTATCTGGAGGGTAACAAAATGTTCTTGCTAGGTAGCAGAAATAGGATGTTGATCGAATCGGGATGATTGGACATATTCCTTAACTTCTCGGGATGTATGTTTGATAAGCTGTTTGATGGAACGGAGAGGGGAGAAAGATGGGGGTTTTGCGTAAACAGAATACGAATTAATAAGTGGAAGGTGAGTTTCCGAAATTTTACTATCTTCATTAAGGTATGAAACCTCATAAAAATAGTTAATTTTAGAAACATTTGAAGTGCGAAGATCTAAATGGGCATTTATAGTGACTGGTGGACTGGAATCAGTAGAATTACTCATGATGGAATAAGTCTACCTTTTCCATCTGGTATTTCATCTAAAAACAAGTCTGCTCCCAACGCCCAAGATGAACAGTAGAAAAGGGAAAGAAAAGAAGAAACAAAAGAAAAAAATTTTAAATTTTTTTTAAAGAAAATTGCAAGATGACTCGCTTCATCTAAGATCGTCTATCAACCGCCGGCCGTGGCATGTAGGATGGCCAGCGTTAGACCGGACCGCCACGTCAACGACTTCCGGCCTAAATCGACTTGACGAACTACATTGAAAAATCGCGTCGAAATATTTAGGAGTATATTGGCCAAAACGGAACGTTTATGATCAAATCGGTGACCTCACAATAGGTTCAGGACCTTTGGACTGTTTCCCTCGTCGTCAAAGTCCTCGTCAATTTTGCCGGACAAATTACGTCAATAAATTACCATCACCCATCATGAAACTTACTGCTAACGTCGACGTACGCAACTTCTTGCAGCGTACGCAACAGGCGCGTGGACATAGACTTCACGATAGCAATAATTTCAGCTGACGGAATCGCAAGCAAATAGCATTTCTGTTCCACATGCGAGCATCACAGCGACTCAGATCGGGACATGTTTGTAAGCGATGAGGAAAGTTCCGCCGTATTTCGACCGATTTCTGCCGGTCAACCAACTTGCAGACTTGGGACGGCCGTTGGCACCGCAATCCGCAGCCAAATTGGAACATAAGATGAGGAGTCATTACCTCCAATACATGGCGGAAGTGGGAAAAGCTATGATTTTCACATCAGTGGGACACACACATGATAATGTAGTTTATACGTATATGATGATATAGTTAAAATACTAACACGATTCGCGGCAAATGTGTCAATTACGTCCGTCCAAACTAACTAATTGAAAAGAGTAATTATAGCATACCCCACTTGTGTGAAATTTTTATTTCCCACAACCGGGCTTACCCACGATTGATTTGATGGTTAACGAGCAAAAATAGTGATTAAAACCTTCAAATCAAGAATGGATCAGATTGCTTGCGTAAAATTCTTTATATGAATTGACCTTTTACGTATGTGGAATTATTATGTCAAAGGAAGTAAATACTATAAAAAGTTTTCCCTCTGCCGAAAATTGATAGCCTATTCGGTGTTACTTTTAGCTTTTATTTTTTACTACTATTCCTTTTCTTGTTTAACTTTTTATTTTAAACCTGCTGTCGAAAGCTTAAAAAGAATTTTAAGCGCATAAATGTCAATATGCATATATGGGGGAAAGTAAAAAAAAAATCATAAATCTATTGCATTGTCACCAACTCAATCTTAAATCTTTTAATTAGATCAATTTAATTCTATACATTTTTTTATTTGTGCCAATTGAGTCCATCCAGCAAATTTTGGCCAAAAATCACTGACATGGATGTCGGTTGTCCTACGTGGCACGATCGGTGCTGATGTGGACAAATTTTTATTATTTTTCTGAATTTTTTCCTTTTTATTTTCGTTTTTTTATTTTGGCCGGCGAGGGTCGCGGCCCTTGCCTCCCTCACCCAAGCCGTCATCCGCCGCCGGCAATGGCCAAGACCCTTGCTAGCGGCCGGTGAGGGTTCGCAAACCTTGTCACCGGCCACAATGAAAAAAAATAAAAGAAAAAACAATTAAAAAAATTTATTTATTATTTGTGCACGTTAGTACCGGTCATGTCACGTAAAACGATCGAAGTCTATGTCGGCGATTTCCGATCAAAATTGACCGAATGGTTTTAATTGGCACAAATACAAACGATTTAGAACTAAATTGATCTAATTGAAAAGTTTAAAATTGAATTGGTATCAATGCAATAGATTTAGGACTTTTTTAGCAATTTCCCCACGTACATGGAGTCATGTGAAAGTTTTCATATTGTTTTAAAACTTAGAGTATGGCGGTCTTGAAAAATGCATAGATAAAATCTGAAAAAATAAGCATGGTGATTTTGATGTTTCAAGAAACGCTAAAGCTGATACATGGGCATGGTGATACAGATAACTAGGGGTAAGCATGGTCCGAGTGGGCGGTTCCCACCCTAGAATCGTGAAATTGCCCACTAAGGATCAGTTCTGAAAAATTAGAATCAGGAATCGCCCTTTGATTCTATGGGTCCACCGAGGACCCGACTGCTGATCCGGTCCGGTTCCCAAGTGGGTTCATGGAACCAATCCCACTAGCCAAGGACGGAGACAAAAAGACAAAGACGGAGATGAAGAGTTTGAGACAGTGAGGTGAGCATCGAACGAGAAAAGTGAGAGTGAGAGTGAGCGTGAGGCAAAAGCAAAAAAATGTGTTTCTCGGCTCAATATGAGACTATGAACGTCGAGCGAGTTAGGTTTAGTTTAGGAATTTATGATTTTTCTTTTTTAAAAAAAATTAAATAAATATATTATATTTATTATTATATTACCTATTTGGTCCAGGTGGCAAGTGGGTGGTTCCACACCTGGAACAGGGATTTAGATCGGTACCCACCGGTTTCTAAAAATTGAAACTGAAAATCGGATCGATTTCCTTAGAAATCACCGGTTCCGAGTGGTCCGGGCAATTCATGATTCTTTTGCGCAACCCTACAGACAACCCCTGGAATTGCATGTGTGGTTTCTCCCTCTGTCGGTCTGAACTCATACGCCCACTTGATCGGGCCTAATAAAGCCAAGGGTTGACAATGAATAGGTAGGCCCATCATAGCAACTTGGAAAAAGTGACCATACATATCTACTTCCAAACTAGGGGTCAATAGATATTTCACCAATATAATATTCACTACTCAGTAAAGATACAGATGTAATTGTTCCCTTATACAACTCTTATCATGTAGATACTTCTTGATTATCATACTCGTCTTCGCTATAAATACCACTTGCACGAACCCATTCATTCATGCAACACAACCCAACACAAAACGCAAACCCGAACCCCAAAATCCTCTTTGCTAAGTCCTCTCTCTTGTTTGCCCTAGAAAAGCTAGCCATGCAAACCCAAAAGCCTCATGCAGCTCTCCTCGCGAGCCCCGGCATGGGCCACCTCATCCCCGTCGTGGAGCTCGGGAAGCGCCTCAGTGCCCACCATGGCTTCGATGTCACCATCTTCGTGGTGGCGGCCGACTCGTCGACCGAGAAATCCCCCATCTTCGCCTCGGCGTCGGGTCTGGACCACCTGAAGCTCGTCTTACTCCCCCCGGTGGACGTTTCTGGGCTCATCGACTTGACCACCTCAGTCGTGACCCAGCTAGTGATGATGATGCGCGAGGCCTTGCCTTCATTGAGGGCCGCGATCTCCATCATGAGGACACGTCCGACGGCTCTCGTGGTCGATTTGTTCGGAACCGAAGCTCTGGCTGTGGCTGAGGAGTTCGACATGCTCAAGTACGTTTTCATTACCTCGACGGCGCGGTTTCTTGCGGCCACCATTCACTTGCCCAACATAGATGCGAAGGCAGAACATGAGCATCGTATTATGAAAAAGCCTTGGGAAATTCCAGGTCTTGAACCGGTCCGATTCGAGGACACCTTGGACCTGTTCCTGAACCAGACCGATAAGAGCCTTTACGCCGAGTATACTCGAATCGGGAGGGAAATACCGACAGCCGATGGAATCCTGGTGAACACATGGCAAGATCTAGAGCCTTCAACCTTGCATGCACTAGAAGACGATGAGTTCTTGGGCCGGGTCGCTAAGGCGCCGGTTCACCCGGTCGGTCCATTGGTTAGACCAGTCGGACCGAATTTCAAGAGTGAGGTGATGAACTGGTTGGACAAGCAACCCGTCGAATCGGTCATTTACGTTTCGTTCGGGAGCGGCGGGACCCTATCGGCGGAGCAAACCACCGAGCTGGCCTGGGGGCTGGAGCTGAGCCGGCAGAGATTCGTTTGGGTGGTGCGCCCGCCCGTGGACAACGACGCGTCCGGGAATTTCTTCAACGTGTCCAACAGCCAGGACGGGACGCCGAATTATCTCCCCCAGGGGTTCTACACCCGGGTCGGCGATAGGGGAGTGGTGGTGCCCATGTGGGCCCCGCAGACCGAGATCCTGGCCCACAAGTCCGTGGGAGGGTTCGTGTCACACTGCGGCTGGAATTCAACCCTGGAGAGCATAGTGAACGGAGTGCCCATGGTGGCGTGGCCGCTCTACGCGGAGCAGGGGATGAACGCCGCCATGCTGGTGGAGATGCTCGGCACAGCAGTCCGGCCAAGGACGAGGCCAGCCAACCGGGCGATCGGGAGGGAGGAGATAGCGGACATGGTGAGGAGCATCATGGATTCGAAAGGGAACGGGATGAGGACCAGGGCCAGGGAACTGCAGCGTGGGGCGACGGGAGCCGTATGCAAGGGTGGTTCCTCGGACAACTCACTGACCCAAGTGGCCAAGGAATGCGAAATCAAGCTGCACCGCCTAAGTGCCAAGGCTCTTGGTGCTTAGAAATTGCATAGATTTAGCTGCTTCCTCTTTTGTTTTTCTCATACTTTTGGAGATTATCTTTCGTTCTCCTTCTTTCGGTTTCGAAATGCGTGGAACAACGGCGGTGGATCTATGTGCACAGGCTCTTCTCTAGTTTTGTCACACTGATTTTTCTTAATACATAACCTATGTGACAGGAAAATGTATATGGACCGACCCCACATGACGATAAGGCACACCGTCTCTCAAACAACTCCACACGGACGTCGTATTAAGTTTGTGATTACGTTTGCTAGAGTTTAAAGCACGTGGAATAGATAAATAAATAAAAGTTCATTTTGGGTTCCAATGTCTAGATCAGTGGGTCGACATCCATCTCAAACGTTGATCCACAATTAAAGATCCTTAATTTAAATTGGAGTTTAAAGAATAGGGAAGCAAAGAAGGTATGGGCGATCACATCACCAAAAAGAATCAAACAAATCCCATAGGACATTGACGTAGACTTTGGCAATATACGAAGACAGCAAATTCGTGCTCTGTTCCAAGTTCCAGGTCCCTTGTCACGTGGCCGATGACTGAGATGAATGCAAGTCTACGCAAATGAATGAGCAGAGATCTTCTTTGTCCCTTTCAAAATTATGTGCCCCAATGCTCTGTCCACATATTACATGGGCTGAGCTTGCGGGTTCCTGTCGATCGTATAATATGTGACTTACAAAGTATACCCAACGCAAAATATTGCAATATTCAAAATATTAATTTGCACTAACATTGTTTCGTCGAAAAGTGTCGACAAAGCACCTTTCGAAATGTGAATCAATATGGAAATCGACAAAAGATGGGAAGAGTCCTTTGTTAATTTTGGACAGAAATTGTGGATTGACCCAAAAATTAAAAGTACGAAAATTGGAGGCAATCAACATCGGCCATGTAAAAGGGGACTAAAATTGTAAAGATAAGAAGAAGATAAAATACAACATTAATTGATTTGCGGTCATTTGCTCGAATCACAATCCTAATACGTAGAGCTAGTAGAAACAATTAACAACAATTACAAAGAAAGTAAATAACATCCTATATGACTCCTAAAATTCAGTAACATGTATTTATAAACGGTTACCAAAAGATCCATTACTCAACGATTATGGCCTCATCACTCGCCCCACGTCAACAGTTTCTTCCACAACTCGTAAACTTTCTCGCTGATGGTTATAATAACCCACATTTTTCGGCCATTATCATTAATGGCTTTTGAGATTCACGGATTCTACGGATGGGTGATCCTGCTTACCGAAATTATTGGCCTCATGACTCAAGAGCTTATCTCGCTCTTGATTCGTCAATCTTCATCTTAGCTTCAATTCTTTTGTCTATCAAATCAAGTTTCATTTGCTGACACTTCGTGACTCAACACTCAGCAATTTTCTTTTATATTATCTGTTGGCAACTCCGCATCATCTTTGTCGATTTTCCATAGTTGCTAACCTAAAGGACTTAGCAAATTTTATCATCTTCATATCTACTCGATGTTATTCAACCTGAGTCGACAGTAATGACTTGGGCATTTTGGGTAATAATAAATATGAAGAAATAATGTTTTGCAAATTATAAACTTTTACGTAACCAATGCATCGAAACACTAATGAACCGCAAGTATAGAGACTGATATCCCACGGTCCATCCAATACAATCCCTCTTAGATAATTTAATATTTTAAGACGCCTCTTCACTTGATTAGACAACTTTATTAATCACTACCTAACATTACCCTTCTAAGTTTTGAGTCGCTGATTTGGTACTATAGCTATTAGCTATGGCTGTGATGCTTTTGCCTTGATTGTTTCGGAGAACATCTTCACAAAGTCCCTTCAACGTTTGAGATTATCCAATCTGACAGCTATTATTGAACAAAGCATCTCCTCCCTTCTTTGCGCGCAAGCTTCCATACTAGTTAGAACTTAGGCGATTATCAATTCAGGACAAAAACAAAGACACCACAAAATAAAGTCAGGCCAACATATGTTCTTCCAGCTTTCTGAAGAACAATATGAGATTTGGCGAATCAGCCATGAGTTTTTCCCTTTTTCCCACTATGGCGAAAAGTCGCCAGAAAAGGACCTTTCGTTATTCTTGATAGCATTCCAGAAACTGAGTAAACGTGAGCAGGAATCTCAAAATGGTGCACTCTTACTCTTTCTTTAACCAGCCAAGAAATACTAGTCGGAAGGCAGGCAATGCAAAACTAGAGAGCCACTAGCAGGGGTTGCTGCTCAGGTCTGATCTTTGCCCAATTGATCCTACAACCCTCTCATGCAAGCTAAAGAATTGTCTTATCTATGATGCCTTCGATCGATGGTTTACAAATATAGATGTTGCATACATTTAATATTAGTTAAGTTTGCATGTGGGTGATATCTATAACTTGTAACCCTCTAATCAGAGATCTCCAACTAAGAATAGAAGACAATATGGCTCTTCTTAATATCACATAATGGGCATGCAATGTGGAATATAGAAAATCGGTGTGAGTGTCCCACATCCGCATTTCACTAGATCATGGTTGGATTATGGTTGTGAAAGTGTAGTTTGTTGGGTGATTGAATCAAAATTCAGTGCTTGATTGCAAAATTTTAACTATAGTCTAATGAACATTGACGGAATTTTCTTATCCGATGAAACGTACCATTGTAGGGAGAATAATGTCAACTAATTTAAAAGTTGTTTTAATATCTATAGACCGTAACTACTAGTTAGAAGTACTGTTAGAGGCACATTGCATGACGTGATTTATGGAGCTACCTAACTTTCCAAACACGTACATAAATTCCCAAGTCATCAATGACGTTGAAAAGTATATGTTCAGCTGAATCAAACATAGGGTTTCAAGATTCTTATGCCCTGGTCACTGGAGTAGGCCATTTGTGTATCAAAAACTTCAATAAATAATCTGAGGAGGTCGCACGTTCAGTTCAGACACACTCTTATTCTCCTGGGCTGGGTATAAAAAGCAATTTGTACGTGTTCAAACTCTCTCACTCATGACTGACAGATGGTAATCTAACGAATAATTTTAATTAATAGGAAACGACAATGCATGAGAACAAAACAGAGATTAAACAAGTTGAAATGGAGGTTTAAAGGGAAATTTCGTAGTTTGTATATGTTATTGGACAGGAACGTGGCCACTTTGTTAGCTAGGGCATGATAATTCGGGCTTTCCTATCCGAGTGGGGTTTTTACTTTTCATATTTGTCTCTCATCGTTTGAGAGATGATTAGGACAAAGAAGAGGACAATGTTTTGAAAAGGGAACGATGACACAAATAATCCATGAACTTTGGTCCAACGTGCAATGTGGTCCATAAATTTTTTATTTGTTCAATGTAGTCCCTAGACTTTAGCCCAATGTGTAATGTGATCTCTGAACATTTGATTTTTTCAATATAGTCCTTAGACTTTTGGTACATGTTCAATTTAATCCCCGAACAATATGAAAATGTCCAATGCTATCCTTCCATTAATTCAAATTTGGAGACATTAGTTCTCAGAACTCCACACCACCTCATAGTCGGGTTGTAATAGAGTTTCCCATAATTTGAAAGCAAAGCTTGAAGAATTAACAAAATCTAGAATTCTAGATGGTCTATCTTGAAGTCCCATGACCCTTGTTACTCGGGCAAAGAACCAGGTGGAAGAAAGACTAAGATTGGACTATACGAGAGAGAGAGAGAGAGAGAGAGAGAGAGAGAGAGAGAGAGAGAATGATATTGAACGCAATTAAAGGTTGAAGAAAGATTTTGTTCACGCACATTAACTTGTCGATTGAGTTCCAGGGGTCCTAGTCTAATTTCCATCTAGAAATGCTGATTCGAGAAGTGCTTATGATCATTGACTCCATGATGATCACCCAAATGGAATGAAATTGAGGCACTAATGGTGTCCCATCAGTGAATGTACTGAATGCTAATTCCAAAAACTAAGCTATAGAGGAAAGAGGAATATCACTTCACAAAGCCAACTGGACCTACAGGACAAGGATTTGAAGAGTCTCATGCCGTGCTCATTGGAGTAAAACTTGTGGCTACACAAAAGTCTTTCCAAGAAAATTCGAGCAGCTCGCGTCTTTTTCATCATCGTAGTGCTTTGTTTCCGTTCTCTGTCTCCGTCAATACAAAGAGGCAATGGAAATGGAGGTTACACAGAAACTTCGCTGTTATTGTGGACTGTAATGTGCCCAAAACAGAGATCTCCATTACCAAACGAACACGACAATACATGCGTAGGTTACCGAGAAGTTCCGCTGTTTATGGAGGCCTCGAACTGCTATGAACCCCTCTTCAAAGAGGATTTGACAAAGAGTTAGGCATAATTCCCTAAAAAAACCCTAACTTTAGGTCAAGTCCCAAATCTGCCCCAAACTTTTTTTTATCTCAGACAAAATCCCAAACTTTAGGTCAAGTCCCAAATTTGTCCCGAACTTTTTTTTGTCTCAAACAAAACCCCAAATTTTATGTCCAGTCCTAAATCTGCCCCGAATTTTTTTTTATCTTAGAAAAGACTCCAAACATTAAGTCCAGTCCCAAATCTGCCTCAAATTGTATTTTGTGTTAAAAAAATCACCAAAATTCAATTTATTTTCAAATATATACCCCCGTAATCCGGTCTCTACTTGACGTGGCACTTCCACGTCAATAACAAATCCACATCAACAAAGTAATTGGGCTTTTTTTTAGACAAAGAAAAATTCAAGACAAATTTGGATTGAACCTAAAAATTGAGTTTTTCTTTAAATTAAAAAAAGTTTTTGTGGGATGGATTTATTATCGTCCCTAACTTTCATATCCCAGAACGGTTTTATTTTGAAGAATTTCAACAATTTTATTGGGTTGGATTTGATATCGAAGTGGAAATGCGACGTCGGTTTGTACCTATTACCCCATTACTTTGCTGATGTGAATTTGTTATCGACGTGGAAGTGTCACGTCAAGTTAGAACGGGATTACGGGGGTATATTTTTGAAAATAAATTGAAATTTGCTTATTTTTTTTACACAAAACAAAATTCGGGCTAGATTTGGGACTGAACTTAAAGTTTGGAGTTTTTTCTGAGACAAAAAAAAAATTTCGGGATAAATTTGAGACTAGACCTAAAGTTTGGAGTTTTTTCTGAGACAAAAAAAAAGTTAGAGCACGTTTGGGACTGAATCTAAAATTTTGTGTTTTTTCTTAGATAAAAAAAATTCAGAATAGATTTGAGCCTTGATTTAAAGTTGGGGTTTTTTTCGGGGAATTCACCCAAAGAGTTATTAGACAAAAGTATTGAGTAGACCTCGCGATGGAATTTGGACACAGAAAATGCCAAGCAGGTGCATGTTAGTTGACCACCTAGTTTGACACTAGATTTCTTTTTCTTGTTTTTTTGGGTCAAAATTTGACACTAGCTTTCATGTAAACATCGACGTGGCTTCTGACCAAAAAAAGAAAACATTAGCGTGGGTGCGGGTGCGTCTCGATTAATATACAAAAAGTAATGAAAGAGAATCAGAAATAGATGCTCGACTCTGCCTATAAATATCATTCAACCAAACTCATGCAAATCCATCACTACGAGTGCCATATCAAGTACTGCTTAGATCTCTCAAGTATTAAGCCATGCAAAACCCAAACCCTCATGCGGTCCTCCTCGCCAGCCCCGGCATGGGCCACCTCATCCCCGTGTTGGAGCTCGGGAAACACCTCGCCACCCACCACGGCTTTGACGTGACCATCTTCGTGGTTGCCGCCGATGCCTCCATCACAAAATCTTCACTCTTTGAGCCGTCACGGTCGAGTCGGTTGAGTCTCGTATTGCTGCCTCCGGTGGACATTTCCGGCCTCATTGATTCGACCACCTCTGTCGTGACCCAGCTCGTGATCATGATGCATGAGGCTCTGCCATCGCTTCGGGCCGCCATCTCTGCCATGAAGTCTCACCCCACCGCTCTCATTGTCGACTTGTTCGGAACCGAGGCTTTTGCGGTAGCGGAGGAGTTCGACATGCTAAAGTACATCTTCATCACATCGACGGCATGGTTTCTTGCGGTCACCGTTCACTTGCCGTATATAGATGAAGAAGCAGAACAGGAGCACCGCATCATGAAAAGGCCGCTTGACGTCCCAGGGTGTCGGTCCATTCGCTTCGAGGATACCTTGGACCTGTTCCTCGACCAAAGCGATAAGAATCTCTATGCGAACTTCACTCGCATTGGGATGGAGATATCGAACGCTGATGGGATCTTAGTGAACACGTGGCAGGATCTCGAGCCGTTGACCTTGAGTGCACTGGAAAATGAGAAGTTCCTGGGTCGGGTCGTCAAGGCACCGGTTTACCCGGTGGGTCCGCTCGTTAGTCCTGTCGGGCAAAGTTCCCAAAGTGAGGTGATGGATTGGCTAGACATGCAACCGATGGAGTCGGTGATCTACGTCTCGTTCGGTAGTGGCGGAACCTTGTCAGCGAAGCAAACTTCCGAGCTCGCCTGGGGGTTGGAGCTGAGCCAACATAGATTCATCTGGGTGGTGCGCCCGCCCGTGGATGGTGATGTGTCCGCAAACTTCTTCAACGTGACAAACAGCCATGACGGAACCCTGAACTATCTCCCCGATGGCTTCTTCACTAGAATCCGGAACAGGGGCATGGTGTTGCCCATGTGGGCGCCGCAGACTGAGATCTTGGCACACGAATCAATCGGCGGGTTCTTCACACACTGCGGTTGGAATTCAACCCTAGGGAGTATGTTCAACGGGGTGCCTATGGTGGCGTGGCCACTCTACGCCGAGCAACAAATGAACGCGGCGATGTTAGCAGAAGAGCTCGGGGTGGCAGTCCGGCCAAAGACACAGCCAAACGCCAGCGTGATCGAGAGGGAGGAGATAGCGGAGATGGTGAGAAGGGTCATGGAATGGAAGGGCAATGAGCTGAGAGATAAAGTTAAGGAGCTACAAGGAAGTGCCAAGCAAGCGCTAATGCAAGGTGGTTCCTCTTACAATTCACTGTCGAGAGTGTCAAAGGAGTGTGAACTCAAGCTGCATCGTCTGCGTGCTATGGCTCTTGGTGGTTGAAGAAGATGGCTTTAGCATTTTTGTGTGTTTGATTCTTTCTGTCGATTCTCGATAATGTCTTCATTTCGTCATTCATGCATTATGATTTTGTAGACACGAGAGCTGTTGATACTGTCTTCATTTGGTGATCAAGTTACCTCTTTCTGACCCTCCAATCCAATTTAAAATCACCGGATTAAAATTGATTATGACGTCTGTTGGAAATATAATGCGGTTGTAAATTAAGTCAATGCGAAAATACCAAAGAAATAAACGAGGAACGATAAAAGACACCAGAGATTTACGTGATTCGGTCCGAATATCGGTACCTACATTTACGGAGAGAGCCAGCAACAAATAATTTACTATAATCGGAGAATCAGAATTATAATTCACTCATACGTTCAAGTATTTCCCACACCTAAATTTAAGCCCAAATCCAAAGTATTTACGAATAAATAACTTAATTGGACGAAATAAACTCACGGCACAAATCACCGTGTTCGGAGAATTCCTTCGTACGATTTCTCATCGGCGATCGCAACTTCTTCCTGTGTGGCTCTTCGCGGCTCAAAAGAAAAACCCACGGTTCTTTTCCCTTATGTATCCACGCGGCCACCGCAGGTTAGAGAAGAGAAAAAAAACAAACGAACCCTTGTTTTTGATGTTTTCTCACACAATGACCTTTATGCCCTTGGATAATACAAAAGAACAAACTCTTCAACCGCACAACGTGAACGCTCTGATCTTCTTTTCTTTTACCCTTGGGCCCACAAACTACCCATGAAAGAAATATATAAATTGTAGAATATGTGTGCTCATCTTTTGTCCTGTAGTGCCAATATGTCCTTTTTGCTGAAGAGGTCCACAGTACGTACCAGGAGAGGATTTCCTTTCGTGAACGATCTTCAATATTATCCCCAATACAAAAGATATATTTATCGGAGCAAGACACATTCCGTAAATAGCTCAAACTCGAGCCGTAATTTCACAAGGTCAATCAACTCTATGGAATTTAATCGACAAGTGATAAACCTCCTGATCGAAAAGGTGCTGGTGGGAAGAGTCAAAAAGTGCCTTTATAAGGGCACTTGGCCCTGCATTCATACAGCTAATTACATATAATCACAGTCTATGACGAATCGGTTTTGGTTTGTTTCCGTCTTTTTCTTTATTTTCTGTGAGAACGGACCGAAACACACGATGTTGGAGAGACTCATGAATATGACTAAGTGTGTAAAACAGTTGTTGTTATTAATTTTTTGGTTGACGGCAAGAAAAATTTCGATACCGCATGATAGATATTTAAAATTAGTTGAAGTTGTTGATATGTGCGTGTGAGTTTTGTTAAAAAAAAATTCTTATATCGGGAAATTGATATGGTGTGCAGTAGTTAATTATCCTAAGAGACTCATAACTCATTGGTTTAAATTTTTAAATGAACGTGAGCTTAATCATATATGTTGACGGACTCGAACTTTGATTCTCCCTTGGCAATCTCTCCAGATTAATGTATTGGGCTTTTGCTGTGCGCTCTCAACGAGTGGTGGCAGAGCCGATAGTTGATCAATGTCCCACTCACAACATGTATCGGAGTTTGGTAAATATCTCAATAAAGGAATCCCGTGACCAATGTAGTTTTCAAGCAACCTTCATTGTTCGTTTTGGCAAAAGAGACTTGGGTGAAGGTGGTGTGGCGATCCTTCAAAACAATTATTGAAATACACGTGTGAATTGTGGTAAAATAAAATCCAATATCGAAGAATTGGCGTGGTGTGGAGTTGCTTATATATATTCTAGTTGGCATATAACTCATTGTCTTAACCTTTTGAGTGAAGGTGGAACTAAGTGAATATGTTAACTGGCTAAAATTTTGGCTCTCCCTTTACGATTTCTCCAAGCAAAGGAATCGGACTTCTATTTTGCACTCCCAACAGAAACTTCTACCTCAAGGAAACTATCCAAAAAGTCATAAACCTATTGTACGAAGGCCGATTCGGTCCAAAATTTTTCAATTTTACCAATTTAGTCCTCAACCTTTTGACGATTTGCCAATGTAGTCATTCTGATCAATTTTGGCTGAAAATTGCTAATATGGATATCGACCATCTTACGTGACACCATCGTCACTGACATGGACGAAGGAAACAAATAAAAAGAAAATAAAAGAAAAGAAAAAGGGAAAAAAGAGAAAAATTAGAAAATTCTAAAAAAATTACAAAAATCGCCCACGTTAACACCGGCCGTGCCCCGTAGGACAATCGGCACTAACTGAACCGCCATGTCAGCAACTTCTAGCCAAAATTGGCTGAAATGATTAAATTAGCAAGTCATTAAAAGGTGTAGAACTAAATTTGACAAAATTAAAAAGTTTTGGACTAAATTAACCGTTGTACAATATTATGACTTTTTGGATAATTATTCCGAGGAAGAACATCCTAACTAAAAACAATGTTTTTGTGCTCTAATCTTCCATAACAAGAATTAGCATTCGCTTATTCAATGTGCTTTGGTGTCTTGATCTTTATCTTATCAGAAAATACCACAAAACACTTGTTAACAATAACTACATATAATAAATATGTATTCTTAAGATATTGAATACTAAACAAGTAATTGAATTTTGACTTATCAGGAGGGAAATAAATGCACACAAAGGATGATGTTTAGACAATGTTATGAAATATTTTGTTGATATAGTTGCTTTCATTAATTAGCTAGACGGTCCTAAACTTCTTATCAGTTGGTCGGTCATGTGTCTTTGACGGCCAATTACATGACCTTAACGTTTCATTCTCTTTTTTTTTTTTTTTTGATTGATCAAGTTCTAAAAAAAAATACCAAAAAAGTCCTAAACTATTATACTTGTGCTATTTCAATCATAAACATTTCAATGGTACGAATTGAGTCCTAAACATTTTTACATTTTGTTAATTGAATCCATCCGACCAATTTTAACAGAATATTGCCAACGTAGACGCTAGCCGTCCTAGGTAACACGATCGGCACTAACGTTGACTTTTTAAATAATAGTATAATAATTGTTTATAATGTTTTTGGTTTTTTTCCTTTTTTTTTTCTTTTTTTTTTCTTTACTCTCTCTCTTTTTTGGCTGAGGGCCGACAAGGGCTGCCAACCGACCCTCACCGGCCACCAGCAAGGGCCAGCAGCCCTCGCCGACACTAGGTGAGGGCATGGTGCCCTCGCCTGATGCCCTCGCTATGGTCAGTGAGGGCCTGGTGAGGGGCACGACGCCCTCCCCTGATTTGGGCAAGGCCACAACGCCCAAATCGGGCGAGGGCTTTGTGCCCTCACCCCGATCCGACGAGGGTCGGCCGGCGGCCTTTGTCGGCCCTCAGTAAAAAAAAAAAAAAAAGAGAGTAAAGAACATAAAAGAAATAAACATTAAAAAAATTCAAAAAATTATTAAGATATTATTATTAAATGTCTACACTAGCACCGGGCATGCCACGTAGGACGGCCAAGATGTACTTCAACGATTTCCAGCCAAAATTGGCCGGATGAACTCAATTAGCAAAATATGAAAAGGTTTAGGACTCAATTGGCACAATTAAATTGTTTAGGACTGAAATGCAATAGGTTTAAAATTTTTTTGTACTTTTCTCGTAAAAAAAGGAACAAATACTAGAATTCTATGTTTCGGTGTTGTGAAGTGTTGGTCATGGACTCATCGAGAAGAATAAAAAAAAAATTGGAGGTGGACTAGAACTACAATTCTAGATGCTCTAAGTCCCACCACCCATGTTTCTTGGGCAAAGACCGTGGTGGAAGAAAGACTAGTTTGGACTATACTAGAGAGAGAGAGAGTGGTGGTGGTAGAATTCACCAAAAATAATTCCTACTCTCTAAATCACAAATAAATTGTACTTAGGGTGAGCAGAGTCCAATCCATAGAGACTGACAAATAGTTAATCCCTTGAAAACCAAGTAAACAATAAAAGCGAAATTAAAATGGGAGGTTTATGCAGAATATTCTTAAATAAAATAAGCAAACAGAAATTAAAGAAAATCATATTATGCAACATCTAGCAAAGGTAATCTCATTCAAGTTCGGAAGTTGATCATTGAGTCAAACGAATAATCTCAAACACTGCAATAGACTGGTTATGGTTGTTGAAACGCTTCTAACAACCTAATCTTTCCTTAATATTAGATTAACCGAACACGCACATGTGATTAATCCCTTATTAACGAATAACCCCAACACGCGCCAAGGATTCAATTCGCTAATAGCATGAAAAACGAGAAAAACCCAACCCTAGCCAATAAATCACACGCGTAACTTATTCAAGCTAGATCATATATTCTCGTAATACAACTTGAAAATCTGGTTTTAATCAAGTCATATTATTTGCCATTATTATTAAAACACCTAAACAATTACGGGTTTGGGTATTTCAATTGGCAAACTATAACCCTGTCAATTGCACAACGAGCTCTTATTGTAACAACCAACAAAGCAATGGTAAACAATAAAACAGAGAATATATAAATACTGCAGAAATTAAGAAGGAGGATTAAGTTTAGATCTCACAACTTGAATAAACTTGAACTTTGATAATCCTTTGCTAGATTAAAAAGGAGTTAGCCACACATGGCTACAAAATGCGCAAAATAATATGTTTCTGAATTTTGTGGAGTGAAATCTCTCCTCCCCTCTTGCGTTCAACCTCTTAAATAAATAAATAAAAAGAGAAAGTCTAGAAAAAGAAATTCTATCCAACATGGAAAGAGAAAATAAAAGGCAAAATCTTCTCCCTAATGTCCCTAATTAAGAGTTCTATTTAAGTACAAAAATCCTCCTCAATCAGATATGGAAAATATGGAAATTAATGGCCAAATCACGTTCCCAAATTCTGCGCTAGCTTTACATCCACGCGATCTTAAGCAGTGAGCACGGATCTCTGGAAAATGGATCTTTTACATGCAAAATCCCAACCAACAGCTCAAAAACACATCAAAAGCGTCCAAAATCTTCGCGATTGCATCATTCACCATCACCTAACCACAATGCATAAAAACAAATAAATAACACTTTATTTATTCGAATATTTGCCCAAAATACCACCAAATATAATCAAAATATAAGTCAAAACGTAGTTAAAGGTTGAAGAAAGATTTTGTTCGCGCACGTTAACTGGTCTTTTGGGTTCCTAAGGTCCAAGTCTGAGAGAGAGAGAGAGAGAGAGAGAGAATGAACGTAATTAAAGGTTGAAGAAAGATTTTGTTCGCGCACGTTAACTGGTCTTTTGGGTTCCAAAGGTCCAAGTCTGTTTCATCTAGTAATGATGAATCAAGAAGTGCTCATGACCATTGATTCCATGATGATCAACCCCATAGGATTTGAAAATGAGGTACTAATAAAGTCCGATTATAAGCATGCTAGATGTGACATAATGAGAACTAATACCATGTCGCAGAGCTGAATTCCAAAAACTAAGCTATAAAGAAAATGAATCCACATCGTATATTTCGTATGTTTTGGTGTGTCGACACAGAAGATCTTGCCTCAGAGCTCACATGCGTTTCAAGCTTTACCTTGTATTATCGTAGTCATGAATCCTTAAACGTCCCACACCTTCGTCCAATAACCAATCTCTTTTTTCATCATACATGTTGGTCATAACCTCATTCACAAAAAGTTTCAAAGAACATATTATGATGGTATGCTACTAGCTGATAGTGCTATCCGAAGAACAAATTACATGACGTCGCTCATGAAAATTTAAGCATGCACAATTTTTCTAGTCGCCAATTACTATTTAAAGAAGAAGACGCATCTCTTTCACTGACTCAATCCCGGTAAAAAGCCAACTAGACCTCCTGGACACGGATTTCGCGAGTCTCATGCCGTGGTCGTCAGGGTAAAACCTTTTGGCTTAGCAAAAGTTTACCAAGAAAATTCGAGGAGGTCGCGTCTTTCTCATCATCGTCGTCGTCGTCATTATGCTTCGCTTCTGTTCTTTGTCTATGACACAAAACAGCAATTTTCACGGGGCATGACAATTTGGACTCTTGTCCATGTTCTGTAGCCTTTTAAGGTTGGTAACTTTATTTCCGTCGTTTCTCATTGTTTTTCGAGGCCTCGGACCGCTATGAACCCCACTTCAAAAGCGGATTACACGCGATTCATTATAAAGCGTTGGACAAAAGAATCGTAAGGACTTTGAGAGCTAGTGTGGCATTGACCCTGTGAAGTAATTTGGCCGCAGAAAATGCCAAAACAGGTGTTCGATTGTTGACCACCTGGTTTGATACAAGTTTTCGTGTGAACATGAACGTGTGTCTGGATTACTATACCAAAAAGTCATGAAAGAAAAAATAGAAGCTTAATTCTGCCTATAAGTATCATTCATTCGAACTCATGCAAATTCATCACAACGAGCCCCATATCAAGTACCGCATAGTTTTCTCTCAAGTACTGAACCATGCAAAACACAAACCCTCATGCAGTCCTCCTTGCCAGCCCCGGCATGGGCCACTTCATCCCCGTGGTGGAGCTCGGAAAACGCCTCGCCACCCATCATGGCTTCGACGTGACCATTTTTGTGGTCGTCGCCGATGCCTCCATAACAGAATCTCCACTCTTTAAGCCGCCGCGGACTCCAAATCCGCTGAACCTCGTGTTGCTTCCTCCGGTCGACATTTCCGCCCTTGTCGATTCGACCTCGTCGGTCGCAAGCCAACTGGTGATCATGATGCGTGAGGCTCTGCCATCGCTTCGGGCCGACATCTCTGCCATGAAGTATCACCCCACCGCTCTCATAGTTGACTTATTCGGAACTGAAGCTTTAGCAATAGCAGAGGAGTTCGACATGCTTAAGTACGTCTTCATCACGTCGACAGCATGGTTTCTTGCGGTCACCGTGCACTTTCCATATATAGATGAAGAAGCAGAACACAATCACCGCGTTATGAAAAGGCCGCTCGACATCCCGGGGTGTCGGTCCATTCGCTTCGAGGATACCTTGGACCTGTTCCTTGACCAAACCGGCGATAGGAATCTCTTTTCGGGCTTCACTCGCGTTGGGATGGAGATCTCGAATGCTGATGGGATCTTAGTGAACACGTGGCAGGATCTCGAGCCTTTGACTTTGCGTGCACTCGAAAATGAGAAGTTCCTGGGTCGGGTCGTCAAGGCGTCGGTTTATCCGGTGGGTCCGCTTGTTAGGCCTACCAGGCAAAGTTCAAAAAGTGAGGTGATGGATTGGCTAGACATGCAACCGATGGAGTCGGTGATCTACGTCTCTTTCGGGAGCGGCGGAACCTTGTCGGCGAAGCAAACGTCCGAGCTCGCCTGGGGGTTGGAGCTGAGCCAACATAGATTCATCTGGGTGGTGCGCCCACCAGTGGACGGCGATGCGTCTGCAAACTTCTTCAACGTGACAAACAGCCACGACGGAACCCCAAGCTTTCTCCCTGATGGCTTTTTCACTAGAATCCGGAACAGGGGCATGGTGGTACCCATGTGGGCGCCGCAGACCGAGATCTTGGCACATAAATCTATTGGCGGGTTCTTCTCGCACTGTGGTTGGAATTCGACCCTGGAGAGTATGGTCAATGGGGTGCCTATGGTGGCGTGGCCGCTCTACGCCGAGCAACAGATGAACGCAGCGATGTTAACAGAAGAGCTAGAGGTGGCAGTCCAGCCAAAGATACGGCCGAATGCCGGCGTGATCGAGAGGGAGGAGATAGCAGAGATGGTGAGGAGGGTCATGGAATTGAAGGGCAATGAGATGAGGGATAAAGTTAAGGAGCTTCAAAGAAGTGCCAACCATGTACTGATGCAAGGTGGTTCCTCTTACAATTCACTGTCGAGAGTGTCAAAGGAGTGTGAACTCAAGCTGCATCGTCTGAGTGCCATGGCTCTTGGCGCTTGAAGATATGGATTTTTGCATTTTGTATGTTTGATATTTTCGGAAGATTCTCGATAACGTCTTGATCTCGTCAGTCATCCACAATAATATCGTCGACAGAGAGTTGTTGATTATGGTTGAAGATGATATGGATAACAGTCAACAATAAAATGGTAACCAAATTGACGCGAATTTGAATCCGATTCCCAAGTCTTAGTCATTTAATAGCACCGGAAACGTAAAAAGAAATCCGTTTTTTTGTCACAGAAAAAGGACATAAGTGCATTAGAATATCCCCGTGATTCGATTATTACTGGATATGTATGAAATGAAAAGAGCTGAAGAGTCGTCGTTAAAAAGTTCACAATTACCCAACTACTATCACACTGATTCCGTGCAAACTTCGCCTCCAGTGGAGACCTCAGTGACTCGCACACTAGCAAGATTCATAGAAGCATGCAATGCTCATTCCTTATGTTCTAAATGTGAGTCACTTCCTCGCTTGCCTCACCAGCCGTCCAATTATTTCTCGCACTTCTAGGTCCAATAGTAACTGTCTAGGGCTTGTTTGTTTGGATTAAGAAAAACTAGAACAGATGTTAGTTTTCAAGTCTAAATCTAAAATTAAATCCTTTGAAACGTCAAGTGTTTCACGCTGAAAAAAGTCGAAGCGAGTGCACCACAAAACTTTCGAAAGAAGAGTAGCGAGCACGGTCTTCAAAAGCATGCTTTCGGTATAAATTTTTAAACTTTGCAAATGCTTTTGCGTGGGTATCGCCATACAAGTTTAGTGTGTTGAATGGCAAATTCTATGGTTCAACGCATAGTATAAGTCGCTGACCAGCTTGCGTAACCTCAATGATCGAGACAACATACAAAGTCCAAAATCGATTCTAGCTTGCTTCGATTTGCCTTTGGAAATCGGCTTTCAACCTTTTCACGTTAAATGCGTCACCACTCTTTACATTAAATGCACAAAAGCCTTTAAACCATACATATTGACAGTTAAAGTCACTCTAAATTCTTTGAAATCTTTTCATAAATTGTTACATAATTACGTTTTGATGGAAAATTCAGACTTGACGTATTGAATGGCTTAAAACCGTAAAAGGGTCCAACCCAAACGCCCTCAAAAGTACTACGTTTGGCGTGAATCTTACAGGAGCTACTGACTCTTCCATTAGCAACTTTTAACAATGGAAGCGAACCTACCACCCAAAGCCTGAATATCGAGCCAAACGACTTTTCAAAACCTACTTAGGCCAAACTTCATATTCCCAGAAATTGGCAATTTCGAAGGGTTTACTCTATGTTGAGGCAGAAAAGTAATGATCTTTAGCCAATCAAAGGAAAAGGACTTTGCAAGTATGAAACATATATGATGCTCGCAAGAGAGAGAGAGAGATGGATAGCTATTAGCTCACAGATGAAACCATGGAGACAGATCAACCCTCAAAACCAAGCTCCACGGTCTTTTAACTAATTAACCACTCCCAAAAAAAAGGCAGAAAATATTTTTTCCTTTCCTTCTACCCCAGCTAGTCAATTCGTGTGCGTTTTGTGTGTGTGTGTGTGAATATTTTCTCGAGATCGTGAGAGAGAGGGAGAGAGAGATCAGGAGGCATGGAACCTTGGCTGCCTGCTCAATTCAATTGTGGAAGATGGTCTTGACGAAATTGACAACCCCACCTTTTCGAAAAAAAAAAAATTGACAGCCCCAACTCATTTCTCTTTTTCCCTTTTATAAAGATGACCGAATTTTTGACACCGTGACTCATTTTCTGCACAATCTATATCTCAATTTCTCTCACCTAGCTCAAGTTCTGCTCAAATTAAAGGCTACCCCAGCCCATCCACAAAATTATCCCCAAAAAGACTGCAAATGGGTCAGATGATGCAACCATAAGATCTGAAGCACAAATCTGTAAAAGGCAATTGACATTCAGGATGAAAGTAGAATCAACAGTTTCCCTACCAAAGAAGCCTCTCCGAAACATCTAAAAACACATTTTTTGAGTCACATCACACGATTAACATATGGCAAGAACAGGGTCTAAAGAAACATAAGAAGATGCAGATCAAAGTTCACCATGAACCTTCTGCACCAACAGTGGGGTTCTTGTATGCTTCAAAGCCCCAGAAGGTTTTCAAAGAGTAGGGTGGAAAAAGTGTTGCTCCTTCTTCAGTGATTTTTGCAATCTGCAGGTCAAGTGCGCCATGTCATTTAGATGTTTCGAAATCAAGCTACTGTCAGTTCTACAAAAAAAAAATTGTGAATGCCCGTAGACAGAACTACATATAAGCAAATGCAAGAGAACAAACAGAAGAGCATGTGAGACAAGTGCAACAAAAGAGTGCGAAATGAAGTCATGCACCAGAGGAGATCAATTGCTGTGCATAACGAACATGACCAGTGAGAAGCTTCTCCACCATCTTGATTATGATTTAATTTCTCTTATCATTGTAACTACCATTTGTCAAAATTTACCAAGCAACTTGTCAGCCCCAGACACTACGAAACCGACTTGTCCGCCCCCTCCTTCTCTCCCTCATGCTCAGTGCTTGGTACAATTCATTAGTTTATAACATGGATCTTGTGGTAGTTCCGAAGCAAGAAAACGACAGACCTCAAATAAACTACAAATTCAAGCTCTAGCAGTTCTCAAATGTCAAGATTAAAGGCTAAAATCCTTTAAAAAGCCAAAAAACAGTATGATATCTCTTGGGTTCCAATTTTGACTTAGAATATGGATTTTCCTAATGAAGTTCAAAAAGAAATATACTGGAAAGAAGATTTGAGGAACAAAGAGCTTCGAAAACAACTTGACATTCATCCTCGTTATTCTTCATCAAGATGCAGAATTCAAAACTCTCTGTAAACATCTCCTCAGAATTTTTACGATACAAACCAATACAAGTCATCCATGACTAATCATTGTACAACTAGGTGATAATCATCCATCACAGGTGGGTTGGACTGGCTTAGGTGGAAATGTAGAGAGGGCATGGACCGTATTGTGGTGGATCCAAGAGGGGGTCAGAGTGCAGGTTTTTCTAATGCAGGGGCTGGATGTGCTGGGCATGGACTGTGTATTGCAATGGTGGATCCAAGAGGGGGCCAGAGTGCAGGTTTTTCTAATGCAGGGGCTGGATTTGCAATTACGTAATCCACAAAAGGGTACTCTGTAATTCTCCCTCTTAGCCCCAGATAGGACAGCCTTTCCTTAACAAAAGGAGGAAGCATAAGTGCGCGCATAAGTGTGCATCAGTTCACCAAAATCACACAGTTATACGAGGAAGAGAAAGCACACATCCCAGCTTTATACTACGCTGCCAATTGCAACCATTGAGAAATAGAGACAACCATAAACTATAACACAGAGAAGACTAGAACCTGAAGCTTGTTAACTGCAGATCTGTCACGATACAGAAGCACACGCATGCACTTCTCCAACAGCTTAACACCATCTTCAAAACTCAAGTTCTCGTTCCACTCGTCCCGAAGAATTGGCCGTGCAAGGTGATTTCCAAACCCAGTCGCCACATGGTTATCTTCGAAATTCACACCGATCATGCTAACCTGTATAAAATTGAACGACAAGTGAATGATTATCCGACAACATTCTGAAAAATTAAATCAATCTAACCAAGGGTCGAGACCTACCATGCCAAGATATTTTTGTCCATTCTTAACTCCACCTAGAACCAGTGAGTTCCACAATGGATTGAACTTATTCCGCCTATTGTACATAACCCGAGTCAGATAATTATGCACCTCTTTCGGCCCCAAGGAATTCCCATCATCCCACATGTTGTCATAAAGACTGCAACAACGGACACCAGAATCATCAGTCTTGGTCAAAAGCAGCCTCAAAGTTAAAAAAGCAGGGTAACTAATATTTGGTGATAAAAAAAAATACTGCTGCTTGTAATCTTGATCAATTGATACATACATCAGTTCATCAAGATATCGTAATATCTCCTGAAAATCACTTATCTCTCCACTCGCCCCAAGGAGAGAATGTTTCCCAATAGGCTTTATTCGCTCAACAGTTTTGTATCTCAAGGTGGATCCATAAGATCCTGTAAAATATTCGTCACTATCAGAGCACATAGATGAACAGAACACTGACATAGTCACAAATAAGGAGAATGGAGGACTCAATAACTATGTTACTAAAAAATGTTTGCAAACAACAGAGGAAACCAGTTCTAAGATAACTATACTATCTAAAGTTAAAGAGCTTTGAAAGTAATGTAGTTATGACAACTTAACTAGGTAGAAATAGTTGAAACGGAAGAAAATAGGCAAGCAGTAGAATGCTTCCTTCTGGCATGGCTAGTCAAGACTAATGTACACAATGAGCAGATATATAGCATGCCAGAACAAAAGGAGTAGCGAAGCAGCAAACAGCTTTTCTGATTTTCCTCGAAAAGTGACAACGGGCGGGTACCGCCAAAAAAGACATTTAGCAACCCAGTTTATATTGAAAAGCAGAAGCATCAAGCTTTAGTATTCAAATTAAACCAGATTCTCATATTTCATTGTGGATTACATAGAGCTGAAATTTCCATCAATTAAAAATTTCAGAAGTCAATAACATATATTCCAAAATACAAGTGTGTCATTTAAAAGATAGGTGAATCAGCACCCATCTGCATTAGTAGCAACCAACCATTCTTAATGGAACATTGATACAACTCAATGGAATACTGACAGAATTATCTGTAACCATAGAGGGGACAAGACGACCATCTCAATGCATTGCTAATCAGTCCACCCTTAAAACACCTCAAAGCGACACTTGCTAGCACTCTCTCACCATTAATTGTGATCTTCATAAACAACAAAATTGAGCAACGGCCTTTACCGCTCTCTTTGGATGGTTTCACCCAGAAAAGATCATCTCTAAAATCCGACAATTCCAATCTTAAGACAATGCCATTGGAGACGTTCCTAAATTCCCAGCATACACGATAACCGGGCCAATTGTTATAATGGGTTCCCTCCGAACCTTCTGCCAGGGATATCCCTGCATATCTTCAGAGATATTCGGTCGACCGAGAAATTAACCTTAATTCCTCAATCATCTAAGGAAGCAACAAAAAATGAGGCATCTTAAACTAATCCAAAATCGACTCAAAATCATTCTGGAGGGATCGACAGCCATCTAACTCCCCAACACAGACAGATAATCAGATGTTCCCCCAAAGCGAAAGTCCCCAAATTGTTCAAATCAAAGTGCAGCAGCAGCAGCAGCATAAGGGAATCGCAAAAACCCGATCGAGCAAAAGAAGCTAACCTCCCATGTCGGCCGCCATCAGAATCCCATCCCTGTACTTGAAAGCCACCACGGACGTGCCCGTCACATACGGATACCTACATCGCGCGAGCCCCAAAAATCCGCGGTCAATTCCACGCGCGGAAAAAGAGGCGCGCGCGCATCGTCCGCCGCGCGGGGAGCCGGAAACCCCTCGACGCGCGACGAGCGATCGGAGATGGAAGGGAAGGTTTTTAGCTTACAGAGTCCTTTCGGAGTCCAACGAGAAGGACGAGGCGTCCGGGCCCCGTTCCCCATCCACGACCGGCATCTTGGAGAGAGACATGCTTCGATCGGCGACGGCGACGGCGACGGCGACGGAAGGAGGAGGAAGAAGAAGTGGAGAAGTATCTACCGTCTTAAATAGCAGATAGCGTTTGCCCTACTCTGCTCAAGCCCGGCAAGCCAGCGAAATGAATTCGAATTTTTATTGCAGCAAATGTTTTTTTTTTTTTAACTTTTGCGAAGACCTATAATTAAAATGGATATATACACTGAGCATATATTCCGTTTCTTTAATCTTTCATATGGAAATATTCGATTTCGGGACACATCGAAAGGGGAGTTCAGAGCGCACCTTTTTTTGTAAGATAATAAATAGATTTTTTTCTTTTTTTTTTTTACATAGGAAAAGTCGGCTAGCTTGTAACCTGTCTTCGTAAGAAAAAATTACTCTTTTAACGGAAGAAAATATTAGCTAGGCTTACAAGTTTTATTTGTGAAGGAAAAAAAAAAAAGAAAAAAAAAAAAAATAATATTAAAATTAATTCGGGTAAAATGTGAAGTCGTGCAGGTTTGTGGAAGGTTGGGTAAAATTGTCAATGAGTATTGTTAGAGTTTTTATGGTCAAAAAATAGTTTGGGTAAATGTGTCACAAATGTACCAGCTTTAATTTTTAGTTATTAACCCTAATTAAAATGCTGAAAACTTCTTATCGCCGTCATCCAGATAAAATGGATATATACACTAAGCATATATTCCGTTTCTTTTTAATCTTTCATATGGAAATATTCGATTTCGGGACACATCGAAAGGGAAGTTCAGGGCGCACCTTTTTTTGTAAGATAATAAATAGATTTTTTCTTTTTTTTTCTTACATAAGAAAAGTCGGCTAGCTTGTAGCCTGTCTTCATAAGAAAAAATTACTCTTTTAACGTAAGAAAATATTAGCTACGCTTACAAGTTTTATTTGTGCAGAAACGAAACATGTGAAGTCGTGCGGTTTTGGAAGGTTGGATAACCAATAAATATATATTTTTTTAATTTTTTCATATATATAAAATTTAATATATATATATGAAAAATATTTAATATTGATCCCATTGGAATCGATTGTTCAATTTTTTCATATATTATATATATTTTTCCAATTTTTTCCATGACCTTATGGGATCAAATTAGAACTACAAAGGAAAGAAGGGAGCAATCAGTTTCCGGTTCACAAATAATATTTAATATTGATCTCATTGGAACCGGTTCCCGATTCTTGGATTGGATCGGACCGGACCGGGAACCGCTCACCCCTAGGTTGGATTGGGCTTTGGACTTGGATCCCATATGGGCTACAAAGTTTAGTGGGCGGGCTTGACATGGGCCTTCACAGTTCAAGGATGGCAGAGAGATAGATACCCAAACTGCTCATATGGTGAGCCTGGTTTGACTGGTGGACAACTTGCTAATGAGTAGAATCATTGTTAGATCTACCTCCTCGGTATGGTTGCAAAGGCAAGGCATCGATATTGGGATCGCGGATTCATGATGAATTACTTATTTGTGATCCGATCCATAAGATGTGCCGAGTGAGAATTAATCAATCGGAGACCTCACGTTTTTTGAAACTCTAGATTCCAATAGCTTTTCCGTTCGATCAACCCCTTGATTGAACATAGAAAACTTAGATTTTATTGTCGCCGCGTCTGCTTGATAGCTACTGCTAGCTTTGCAATTAGTAACCTAACGAGTCTAAAATAAATTAGGATTATGAATATAGAAGACGAATGATTATGTACTCATTCCTGATGAATAGAGATCCTCTCAGTTAAGTATGATTAACGTGCTAACTAGGCAAGTTCCTTTCTCTTATATTATCTCATGCTAAATCTCACGCTCATCACAAGTTGGAATTGTGATTATCTCAATTTTTTTTTACTAAAGCCCTTGAATGGAATGATCTTGAGTTAAAACCTGCTAAGCTGTTGGTTTAGATGACACGAGAGTCCGCTCATCTCTTTGTCGTCTTGAATTCAAGTCTTGCTAGGAGACTACTGCAAGAGTAAATCTCAAATGCACCAAGCCAACATGAGAGAGTCTGCTCTTAACATCGTCCGAGGACGTGAATTAGTCGAAATGCGTGAGAGCCAGCCCAAACATCGCCTAATTGCTAAAACGAAAACCCCACTACTACAACATTTTATGTCCTAGATCATCCTGCCCTTTCTCTTTTTCATACTCCTTTTAGAAATATATTGGCCAAATTGGTGTTCGTATCTCAATCCTCACATCCCTTCTCCATCTATCCCTCTAAATTAAGAATAGAATGAAAATGGGTGTTGTTGACAAGCATGCACAAGGTTACATTTGATATGACAAAACGAAATGAGCATTCTTAAACACAACGGGAACGGTGACACAATTTGCATCTTATCAAAGAGGAAGAACATTAGCAGGTGAAATCGGAGGCATTGGCATCCCATTAACAAGAGGAAGAAAAATACTCTCACTCAACCGATTAAAAAAAGAAAGGTTTGATTCCAAACACAAAACATCCAAGACATGAGCCGTGAAAAGGAACCGAGTAATGCCACAGGACCACTCTGCAAAACCTTTCTTTAGACTTTCCATCGCATACTGCAAAGAAACCGAAAGCGTAGCCTAAAAAGATCGTCATCACATGTACAAATCTGTAAAGTTCCAAGAACGAAAATAGCATCCAGCGCTTCTCTACCAAAGAAGCCTCTACGAAACATCTGCAAGCGCATTTCAGAAGTGTTACATCACATGATTGTCATGACAAGATCAGGGTCTGAACAAACAGAAGAATATGCAGATCAAAGTCCAACATGAATGTTCTGCACCAACAGAGGGGTCCACAGAGGTTTTCAAGGAGTAGGGCGGAAAATTTGTTGCTGCTTCTTCAGTGATTTTTTGCATTCTGCAAGTCAAGTGCGCCGTGTCATTTAGATGGTTCGAAATCAAGCTACTGTAAAAAAAGAAAAGAACAAGTCCAATTGCCGTGGACAGAACTCGATATTAGCAGATGCAAGAGATTAAACAGAAGAACATGTGCGACAATTGCAACAAAAGAGTGCGAAGTGAAGTCATGCACCAGAGGAGATCAATTGCTGTCTATAAGGAACATGACTAGTGAGAAGCTTCTGTGCTGTCTTAATTAGGATTTAATTTCTCTAGTCATTGTAATTACTATCTGTCAAATATTTATAAAGCAACTTGTCATTAGTTTATAACATAGATTGTGTAATAGCTCAGTAAATATGAGAACCTCAAATTACCTACAAATTCAAGCGCCAGCAGTTCTCAAATGTCAAGATAAAAGGCTAAAAATCAATGGCCAAAGAACAGTATGATATCTCTTGGGGTTCCAATTGTGACTTAGAATCTGGGGCATCCCAATGAATTTCAAAACCAAACATACTGGGAAGAAGATTTAGGGGACAAAGAGCTTACAACTTGACATTCATTCTCATTAATCTTCATTAAAATGCAAACTTCAAATCTGTCTGAAAGCATCTCCTCAGAATTTTCAAGATACGAACCAATACAAGTCATCCATGACCAATCATTGTACAACCAGGTAACAATCATGCATCACGGGTGGGTTGGACTGCTTAGGTGAAAATGTAGAGAGGGCAGGGACCATATTGGCAATGGAGGATCCAAGAGGGGGTCAGGGTGCAGATTTTCTAATGCAGTGCTGGAGGTGCAATTTCGTAATCCGCAAAAGAGTACACTGTAATTCTCCCTCCCAGTCCCAGATAAGACATCCTTTCCTTAACAGAAGGCGGACACATTAGTGTGCATCCGTTCCCCAAGATCACACAGTTATATGAGGAAGATGAAAACACTTGCTAACAACAGGTAAGACAAAGAGGACTAGAAGTCTAGAACCTGAAGTTCGTTGACTGCAGATCTGTCGCGACACAAAAGCAAACGCATGCACTTCTCCAATAGCTTAACGCCATCTTCAAAACTCAAGTTCTCGTTCCACTCGTCGCGAAGAATTGGCAGTGCGAGGGGATTGCCAAACCCAAGTAGCCACATGGTTATCTTCGAAACTCGCACTTATCATGCTAACCTGGATAAAATTGCATGGCAAGTGTATGAGAATTCGACAACATTCTGAGAAGTCAAATGAATCTAAACAAGGGTCGCGACCTACCATGCCAAGATATTTTTGTCCATTTTAAACTCCACCCAGAACCTGTCAGTTCCCCAATGGGTTGAACTTGTTCCGCCTACCAGACATAATCGGAGTCCGATAATTTTGCACCTCTTTGGGCCCCTAGGAATTCCCATCATCCCACATTTTGTCGTAAAAACTGCAACAACGGACCCCAGAATCAAAAGTCTTGTTCAGAAGCAGCCTCAAAGTTAGAGAAGCAGAGTAACAAGTATACGTCAATTAGAAAGAAACTGCTGCTTGTAATCTTAATCAAGTGATAACGCAATATCTCCTGAAAATCACTTATCTCTCTGTTTACACCAAAAAGTGAAAAAAAATCATGGAAATAGGCATCGGGAGCTTTGGCGTCGGTAACTTACCGATAGTTCGCAACTTACCGATAGTGGGTGAGCAGAGGATCGGCGTCGGTAACTTACCGATAGTTCGCAACTTACCGATAGTGGGTGAATTGAGGATCGGCATCAGCAACTTACCGATAGTTAGATGTCAATAACAAAACTGCTTATGGATAAGGGTGGTTATTTGAACGTGGAGAGTGCCTAGAAAATAGGAAGATAATAACCACCGTTAGGAAGTTACTTTTTATTTAAAATTTAAAGTTTGTAAACGCTTGTACGGGATTATAAATATCCCAAGTTTGTATTTTAAAGACCCCCCGAAATCAACAACAGAACTCACGTTCTTTATCAGTTTATATTTTCTTTTATCTTTACATTTCCTGCACTCGTACCTTTACATTTGGCCAAGGCCATTATTTTCCTGCAATTTACAAGCTTTAATTCTTTAGGAGTAGTTCTAATGCTCAGATTCACGTCGCCGAGTCGTCCTCCGATATGAATCTTCATCCTTGGTGCTTCATCGTCGAGTCAAATCCCGGCGTAGTACCGCCGCTCTTTCAAGCTTCGTCCTCGAGTCAAATTCCGTCGAAGTTTGTTTCAATAGTACTTCCTAAACTTTTCCGTCGAGTCAAACTCCGGTTTGGTTTAGGTTTGTACAATTCCACGATGATTTTTATGATCGCTTGGATATTTCCTGTCAAATCACCACAGAACCCGTCCTTCAATTAAAAGCCGAAGATCCATTTTCGGTGTTTGTTTCCTTAAGCATCAAATTACGGAGAAACACTCTCCACTCGCACCCAGGAGAGAATGTTTTCCAATTGGCGTTGTCGCTCAATAGTTTTGTATCTCAAGGTGGATCCATTAGAACCGGAAAATTATTTGTCACTATCAGAACACCGATTTGACCAGAACGCTAATATAGTCATAACGTACTATAAGAAAACCAGTAAATTAAGAACTACGAACTAATATATCCAAAAAAAAAAAAAAAGAACGACGAACTTTCCTCCAACATGACGTAGAACTCCTTCTCAATGCGCCCATTGCTTGAACCGCTGACTAATATTATATACTGAAAATAATACAGAAGTTAAACGGGTCTTGCAATCTAAAGCTTAGAAGAAGAAATTACCGAGGAAATCAACTAGGAACGATCAGAGCACCAAAGTTTTATGGGGTTCTGTTGAAGTGTCGGTACTTACTCCACTGAGAGAGCCGGCCAGTTTACAGTAGCTCAAGTGCTCAAGTCTTTCTTGTTTTTCCTGGATGCGTTTGTTTCGCACAAAATGAATAATTTGAAAAACATTTTCCTCAAAAAATTGTTTGCCTCGCTTACAAAAATGAATAAACAAAAAATATTTTCATCGTTCACGAAGACATTTATATATAAATCGTTGTTAATACTGAATATTTTCCATTAACTAATTATTTCAAGCGATATAAGTAATTATTTTTAGAAAAATGTTCTCACAATCATTCATTTTTCCGCAAAACAAACGGAGCTTTAGCGTATAGTCACCTAGTAGAATTCCATCTCTTGTATATATATAACTTTGTATCTATTTTGCCATAATTGCGCTTGCAACGAAATCTCTTTTACCAAAAGTCGTTCTTCGATTTTTATTAAAGGAGAAACTAGGGTTCTGCACCGACTCTAGACAGGAAGCATCACAGGCAAAAGGGACCAACATATTAGAATAGGATTGTACAAGCACAAACCATGTTGAAATTTGATTGACAACAAGGCTTGGAAGGTATAGACTCAATGAAGTAACCAAATGTAAGCAAACTATGCTGGAATTTAATCAACGACACAACTTGAAAACATAAAGATACTATGCCAGAAGTTAATTAGCGACATGGCATCCGAGATAGAGATTACATGCCGAAATTTAATCGACGACGCAAATCGATAAGTTATAGCTATGAAATAAGATGCAGTACATGAAAGTAAATATGCTCAAAAGATAGTAAATTTGTTTGATTTGTGCGAGGTGCTTCTAGTAGCTGACTAATAGTATTTATAATGATATGATGGTAACTGCTTTTCGACGGTTTCCAACCGTTACGTTCCCTCGAGCAGTTTTCGTCGATTGCTTCCGTGAATTTTTTGTGCTCACGTTCTTATGATGCGTGTCAACTATTCCACGATCTTACTTTTGCATGATCCTGTTTTTTAATTGGTAATTGTTCCCTCCAACGATGCAAGTCCATCTCCCCTCAATCTCAACAGTTTCGCTGATTTCGAACTTCGCAGTCGTGCTTTGATGCTCTTCAAGTAAACGTCTCCCGGTTTTTTCATCACCCCAATTGCTTTGACTCAAGCCTCCTCGTGTCTTTCATGTTTTCAAAGAGCTCGAAAGGCGATCCGCCATTCACCCATTGCTAGCATCTATCTCAATGGTTACTAGCTGTTCGTCATCATATATTGATAATCGAATATGTACTACGGATGCATATCGATGTCAATCAACAAAAGAAAAAATTCACGGTCGACAACTCCATTGTTTTTTGTGTAAACAGTGTCCTAGGCGGGAAACCTATTTAATTTAGAAGACCACTCAAGCTAGGAAAATAAAGCATATTAGGAGTCCAACTCCAATACGAAAGGTATTCCTAAAGCTTTTAACTTCCTTATTTGGAATTGAAATTTTTTCCTTGGATAGGATTTGATTTTTATTTGAAATTATTTTTTCGGGAAGAATCTTTGTTTTAATTTATAATGATGTTGAGAAATTTTTTCCTAATTATTTATAATCATAAATATATTTTACAGCTCATTTTCGCGTTCCTATCCCTTTTTTTTTTTTGCTTAGGAGTTAACAATCCACCTTCGACCAAACGCATGGCGTGATTACCAATCCCGAGGGCGAGCCTTGGAATCGTCGCATTGTCCCGACCAATGCATGCGACGGAATCGAGTGACGTGGGTGGGCGGGCGACCAAGTAAATTTTAGTGCCCCTTCGCCTTGAATTGAGAGCTCAAAATACGACACTCACGTCCATCACCCCCCACTAAGATATTATATAATGAATTGCCCTAAATCAAGGCGTAACTTGTGGATTGTTCATGTCCGGACTTAGAAAAAATAGTTTTCTTTGGGTTACATTGCCGAGAGAGGCCTCTAGCCATTGCATGCGCGACGGCAGAAATCGATCGGTGTGCGAGAGAAGAAGAAGAGGACAAAGTCCTGTAATGTCACGACCCTATCACATCACATGATAACATGGTATGTACGCATCAATTTTGCTACTGTTAATCTCTGGAATATATGTCGCCGGAGTGTGATAATGACACTCGATTTATCGATGACATCACGTTGATGTGCCACGCATTATCTTCGTTTGATTCCGGATTTTTTCCTTTTCTTTTAATTAGAGAGAGATCGCAATTAGAAAAAATATGTGGCAAAGCTAAGTCTATTCACATGATATACACGTTCAAAGGAAACAGTTTGATCAATCTGCTGTGATTAATCATGAAACATGCACCTGGATCTTCATAGGATAGATATGTTTATGAACCTAGCTGACTGGGGGAAAACTTACTAACGAGTAGATCATTTGTGATGTTGGGAGTTTTTTGATACACTCTTTAGGTGATGATTCAGCTAATTTTCACATACCATATTGGATCGACCTTCTCGATTTGGTTGCAAAAGGATGCCGTCCACATGAGATTAGAGATTCACAAGGAATTACTTCCTTGTGACCTGACCCCACGAGGTTGGGCTGAGTGGGAATTGATCAATTTGTGACCTCGCCTTTTGAAACGCAAGATTCTAAGTTTTATCCCTTGATCGACCAACCCCTTGAGTATAGAGAAACTTAAATATTATTGGCGCCACGAATGTTTGATAGCTGGTCCCTAGCTTTATGATTAGGAATCGAATGTGTCCAAAAAACTTTTTTGATTGTGAATATAGAAATAAATTATTATGGACTCATTCTAATGGATGGAGATCCTCTCAATTAATTATGATCGACGCACTAACGAGGAAGTTTCCTTTCTCTTACTATCTCAT